ATGGTTTTGTCTCTTTTGGAGCTGTTATTTAGCTTAAATTTTGTGGGGCTTATGTTATCTTGTCCCCTATTTCTGACCTTAAATAGCAGCAACTGTCATTTAATTAACCTCCCTGGGAAGGGGGAGTGCTCAGGAATACACTGGCAAAAGTGTTTAGTCAGATACAGATTAGCAGAAAATAAAAATTCAGTGGCTGCTACAGAGCAAGTTGCATCTAGCAGTCAGAGTTAACTAATTAGGGATTGCCTCCGGCTTGTAGCTCATTTGATGGCAAAGCTCCTATTGGCTTCAATGGTGCAATGGATTGTGGAAGCATTGGATTAACATGCAAGGCAGAAGTGAGTCAGCTATAACATTATCTATGGAAATAAAGACCTTCCAACAAGAGAACTAGAGCTAAATTGAGGACAATTAGGAACTATTTGAGCTCTTATTCCTACCTGCAGTATGGCAGGAGGTCAGGCTCTGAACTAATTTTGCGGTCAAAAAGAAGTAAGGCAAGAAGCCACTTTGGAGAAGAAGAGAAAAGGCAGATTCTATTTGGCTTCCCTGATCTCCTCCTGTGACACAGTGAGCTACTTTGTGGATAAGGGAAAGACTTGTGGCTGTTGTTTATCTGGACTGTAGAAAGCCATAGACACCATTCCCCACAGCTTTCTCCTGGAGAAGCTGGCTGCTCATGGCTTAGATTGTGTACTCTTCTCTGGGTAAAAAGCTGTCTGAACAGCTGAGCCCAGGGAATGGTGGTGAATGGAGTTAAACCCCGATGGCATCCAGTCAGTGGTGGTGTTCCCAGCGCTCAGTATTGGTGCAAGTCCTATTTAATATTTTTATCAATGATCTGGATGAGGGGATGTATTTGTGCTTAATTAGATGCTACCATCTTGATCTGTCATTGGTTCAGCCACCTGTGAGAATCTATTCTTTTCCCACCAAGTTATAAGAAAACAAGCACTGATAAACTAGAACTTTGTCCTTGAAGGGAGCATCTTTTATAAACTATAATTAATTGGTACCTCACTATTGGTTGATGGCCCTCCAAGGGCATTTGAAGTGGAAAGTAAAGAGGAGGAGGATGAACTAAGCCCCCAGACTCATTTAGGAAAGACCCCCTGAGGTGCAGCATGCAGGTGCGGGGACATTCCAAAGTACCCACGCATGTGCAGAAAAGATGCCACTTGCATAACGAGATGAGGGACCAAAGGCCTCTAGCTGGGCGGTGCTGACCACACCTGCCCAGGTAGACATGACCAATTAATTGTATAAAAAGCAGAAAGCTCATGCTGGGAGTGAAACACAAGCTTCACATCAAAGGACAACGTTGCCTTTGGCCTGCCATCTTGTGAGCCTGCTAACTCTCCGAGGATGCAGGTTCTGCTATGGGTAATTCTAGGCATTCTGGGGTCAGTAAGATAACTTCATAAGCAACATCTGAGTGAGAGGGGGAGTCGTACTGAGGGCTTATTTCCCTCCCCTTTCTTCTCTCTCAGGTTCTCGTTTTTTTGGCCACCTCTTGGTAATAAATATTGGTTTTCTTGAGCTTTCAATCAAAGTCTCTTCCTGTACAGAAAGAGCACAGAATTTAGTTGCGTGGGGCAGTACAGTGTTCGCTGGCTTACCTAAAGGGTTTTTTTTGCAAGTTGTATCTCTAACCCCTTCACCCTCAGCCCAAATCAGACAGAAATGACAGCAGGAATATGGGCAGGGGCAAATTCACAACAAAGTGTGTAGTACTATGTGAAACTGAAAAAAAAAGGATTGGTTTTCTTGTTTTAAGAGAGGAAGTCAAATAGGAATTTAACTTGAACAGTTGTTTGAAGTTTTTGTCCTTTTTGTAACTTGCAGAAAAGCACAAAGACCTTCAATAGTCAGAAAACTTTTCAGACCGGAAATCACATCATTAAACTTGTGCTGTCCGTATCAAAGCTGCATTAGTTCACTCCCACAATTTGTGCCATGAAATAGAATGCTTCTTCAAATTCACAGTGTTCAATACTGTCACTGTCTGCACTGTACGCAGTTAATGAGTTAATTTACAGAGTGGCTTGATGAAAGTAGTGTTTCAATAGCCAGTCTCCTAAATGGATGTATACAGCCTAAAATAAATTCTCAACTCACATATTATATTAAATTCCAGGATATTTTCCAGAAAAGTAGCATGTAATATATATGACAAAGTGTGTGAGTGTCTGCATTTAGGAAATGTGGGTGTGGAAAGATACAGCTAGTATTTTTTTCAAATCTCTATATATTTATTGAAATTGGCAGCTTCAACTACTTAGGTGCAAGCTGCCTATGTTTTAAAATTCTGTTTCTTGTGTGTCTTGTTCGTTTTGCATATTCTGTCAGAATCTACATTGCAGAGGGTGCCAAAGAGCCTCTCTGTCACAAATGGCGAGATGTGGTACTGTGTACAGAAGCCTCTTTTCAGTGATCAACCTTAACATGAAGTTTCTTTTTTTCAGTTGTCAAGACTGTCCAACTTGACAAGAAGATTTGTAAAATAAAAAACAGAAATAAGTGGCTTGGCCTATAGGCTTGTTTTAATACACTAGAAAGGAAGAGCAAGTAAACCAGTCAAATGGTTAGAAAGATGAAGAGAATGGGAGAAAGGGAGAAGAGACTACTGGGATCAACAGTTTGCCGAAGGAAGCATTGATGTTCTGAGATCAGCACTCAGTTACAAGAAAAGAGATAATGATAGACCTACACCAAAACCACATAAAGTCAGAGAAAACTCACAGAGAGTGTGGGTTGTCCAGTGCACCATGTGGAACAGCTTTGATAAGGTGGTTTAATGGTAACACAAATATATAACAAGTTTAGCTTAGAAGTCACTGTTGAAAATTATGAAAAAGTAGTGTCACTAATATGGTGATGGGGGGCTCATTTTTCTCCCTGCATTCATTTATACCATCTCTTTGTTTTCAGTGAAAACCTCTTGGGTAAACACTAGGAAGAATAATTTTGAAATGCCTACCATACTGGGACATGGATACTTAATAGATTTATAGTTACCAGTAGAATTGAATAACTAAATTTTAAGCAATAAAAATTTAAATAGTTTACTTGGACATGTAGGTAATTTATTTCCTGTCTACAAATCTCCTTGAAGACTCCTACCTTATTCTTCATTTTTACTTACTCTGAGGATAATTTCCAAAAACTGTGGGTGGTGAGCAGCTTTTTGTAGCTTTTTCTGTACCTCTACTGAATAATTATGTCTCTGTGAAAGTGTTCGGTTCAAATTTCAGGGATTTCAAATCTGCTATCAGTAAATACTTAAAATATTGACTGTTTTGAAGCACGGTCTTGCCAGGAAATATTTCTGCCAGAATATTTATAGGAAGCAAAAATAAAATGGACACAAAAACTGTCAATAAAAAACTCTGAAGAAATCTTTGCCAGTTCTTTTCCAAAAGCTGCAGTAGTTCATTATCTTCTTGCACCAATTGGTGCAGAATCCCTATTCTAGTTGTTAATTTGAGGACATTAACCAAAGCCATGTTCTTTGCAAATCACTGTAGTGCTTAATTTCTCTTCTTGAAATTTATCTTTGTGCAAAGGAAGGCACAGAGGGAAAATTCCACTTGGTCTGCTCTCTGCCACACCTTGCAGACAATTTTAGTATCAAATCTTTCATGTGCTCCCCTGTCCTTTCCCCTCCACTAGAGGAGGGTGAAGCCCCCATATATGGCATTATCATTGGGGATGACCTTATAATGAATGCAATAATGTAAGTAAAATGGCCTTTTCAACACCTGTTGTGCCAACTGAAAAACCTCCTCCCCTTGGTGGCCTGTTGGTACTGCAGTTCCTCTACTCACTGCAGGCATGGTGAGATGGGATAGCTACATGGCATATCTGGTTACCATTGACTGATAAGAGCCTCAGGACCCCTGTAACAATAAAATCTATGAGTGGAACTGTTACTGACTGTGTGAGGGGAACCTCCCACGAACATAGTGGAAATGAGAGGGGCAGCGTATCCACACTCTGACTGGCCTGCCTTTTCTATAACCAAAAATAAATGTACATACATGTTCTGCTGTCACTTTCAGACTGCTTTTCTGTCTTTGAGAGTTTATGGTGTGTGTCCCTTTGTAGCAAATACTGTACTGGGAATTAATACTTAAGAGAGTCTACACAGTGTTGGAGGTCAGAGATACTCTTCTGTTTATCCCTGTGCAGTAAGGCAGGATTTAAATGCTCATTCTGAGAGTCTCACTTCCATCCTCCCCTGACCCACCCTAGAGCTAGCTGTGACTAATTAAAAGAGAATAAATATGTCAGTGCTGACCCCAGGGATAATACAGAGACAGGTCCTAATTTCCAGTTTTCAGACATTGAACTCTGTTGAAATGGTAGCAGTGTTACAGCACCTAACAGTCCTATTAACTCTATACAGCCAGTATATAAAATCTGATGAATGAATGACCTTGACTGTACTTCCCCTCAGTCCCTAGATATAACCTCACATACCCTAGTTGGGATAGGTGCCATTGACACCTCAAACAAATGCTGTTTGCTGCGCCATAGTTTTCCGTAGCATCACAGCACGTCTGCTGCTCTGTGTTCCCTTGACATGACCAGTCCTTCAGTCTTCTGGAGGGAATCACCACACAGTCCTGCTAGTCCTTAATTATCAAATTTGTATGTATTCCTGAATCAGAAACTTGTACCAATGAAACTGTGAGGACAGCATCAAGTTTGGTCTGTGAGAAGACACTGTATCAGAATTTGTCATGTTAGCAAGCCCTGTGGTTTAGCAATCAAGAGTTAAAGCACCAAACGGGCTGGTGATTCACATCAGCTAGCCTGGCAGAGTATACAACCCAGTGAACAAGACTGCCAAGCTGAGGGAGCACAGAACTAGTAAACCTGCCTTCAAAAATATCACAAGGTGTGAACTTCAGCCTTGTCAGTCTGTACGACTGTGCAATACTACAATGAATAAATAATTATGTTAGAAATTAAATACAGTTCTCAGCTTGCCTAAGATGGTGTTAGCCTGTGTCTGAAGTCCACCTGAGGGGACAGTAAGCCACAGGATGGTAAACTGAGCAATTTGTAACAACTTGTGCTGCTACCACACTCAGTCATCCTAAGCAGGTCAACAATTCAGAGTATGTTCAGAGACGAGATTAAGACAGAAAAATAGCTAAGAAGTGCGTCTTTCTCTTCGTTATGATTTCCCCCCTGACAGGGAATATGACATACATCTTGTAGAGCATAAAGTGCAGGGAAAATGGCATGGGCCCCCCCATGTTCTTCAATGTGTATTTACACACATTTGTTCATTTGCCACTTGTCTACCTCTTCTGATCTAAGAGGCTTATCTCCTGGCTTCAGCTGCTTTGCCTCAGTTACTTTTTATAACCTACACAGATTGCTTGTTTTAAGAAGAGGATGAGGCTATTTCTACACTGTGACTACATTTGAGAAGTTACTTGAGACCCCAGTGCATGTGAGGGCTTAACCTGGGCTTTTTAGTTGTGAAAGTCTAGAAGAAAAGGAGGGAACTCAGAAATTCTTAGTTAGCTAAATAAACAATCTACTCCTGTTAGCTACCGTCAAGCCTTCTTAAGGGGGTAAGAAAACTAGCAAAAGTGCTATATAAAAAGTAATTGGTTTTAAATCCCTGGAGATTAGCCAGTTGCCAAACATCACTATGGCAAATTTTCTTTGTTATCTAAAGCACAGAATCTAAAGAGACTGACAAGCCCACTGAGCTGCAAAGGACTGTGCTAAACTACATTGATCCGGATGGGCTGAGTCTATAAGTTCAGTCCACTGGGCACTACTCTCACTGCTGCACAAAGCACTCTTTTCGTCCTCCTCTCATTGATGCTATAGTAAAAAGGGGCTTGTGTGTTGTGATTTTCAGGCAAAATTTCTCTGCCAGTTCTGACATGAGATATTAAAGCACCATAGCTGTCTGCAAAATTCAGCACATCTGTAGCTTCTGTATCTGTTTCTGGTCCATGTACTGCTTTTCAAAAAAGAAAACCAAAAAAACCCCAAAAAACAAAACCAAATCCAGCAGGATCAGAACATAATGAAACTCAAATCTTTTGTTTCTTGTGATATAATGATAATTTGCTTGTAAGCGTAATGTTGTCAACATGTGACTTTAGCAATGTCTAAAGCACCTTAAGGAAATCAGCTTCCTTCTACCTATAGAAACATGCATGTATTGAAATTTTGTTGCACTTTATAAGCATAAATCATAGTAAAAAATAAACTGATAAGGAACACATTTGTTAGCTACTTTTAGGCTTTTATTCTTTCCAGTCTAATAGTCTGCTAATGACTAACCAGTCTGATAACTTTTAGGGATAGAGTTTGCTATTTTGGGCTATTCCCCTAGATGAAAGTTATTTCTATAGCAGCCATTCTTAGAAGCATTTATGGAAGAAAGGGAGAGACTGAAGCACCAGTAGAGAAGTGACTCATCACAGCACTACTAATTGTCAACCAAAAAAAGTCTGCCTTGCAGATTAGGGAATCAGCAGTAGAAAAATAACCCCTGTGTATTTGAGAACCAAACACTACTCACAGTCTTTCAGTATTAAAACTATGTGGGATGGATGCACAGCCAACAACCAGTAACAGACAGACATCTGAAACTACTCCTTTCTAGGTCCATATCTCTCCACGTCATTTACCTCCCAACCCAATTTCCCATTGCTTTTGCCTCACTCTTTATCATCCCTGCAACATCGGCTCGCCTTTGATTTTTTTTCCTCTTCTGTTGTTCCACAGTTTGAAACATGTTAAGTAAAATGCAGCTAAAGGGTCTGGTAGCAGCCTGCAAAAATTTCAATTTCTAGGTCTCTGGCTAGGATCCAGGCAGGTCAGTGGCAACTGAAATTTGTTACCACCCCATGTCTGCTTGATGACCTCAGTGACATCAATTGCTGGACTTGGCCAGAGCAGCAATCTTAGCAGAGAACCACCCACTCTCTGTGCTGGAATCAGGCTATCCTCTCCCCTGCAGAGTCAAGGCTGTGGCAGGGCTGTCTCCAAGAGGCCACAGAAATAGACATCTTCATCTTCCTCATCCCTTTAAATATGTTAAAATTACTCATCATTCTTATTTTCTAGTCAATTTAAAGGTAGCATGAGAACTAAGGCTGTACAGAGCTAGGGCTGTGCTGTCATGTTTAAATACTCTGCAAGTGACTTAACAATAAGCATTACTCTACGAGTAAGTAAATAAACTAACTAAATAAGTATCGGTGTAAAGCTCAGAGCTTATTGAGCTGATGTGTGTTTTCCTGCTCTCCAGGAAAGTGAAGAAAAAGTCTCCATGCCTCATGCTGCAGCTCGATTATAGCTTGCTTGCTTGCTTGCCTGCTTCCTTCCTTCCTTCTCCCCTCCCTCCTTCCCTCCATCCCTCTCTGAGGACTACTTATGAATATTTTTTTAGTGTAAAAGCAAACCTCACACCCCCTCAGAGAACTTATGGTAGCATTAGAAAATGAAATTTTCCATTTCAGAGAACAATACTGTCAGATTTCCATTAATATTTTACACTTCTCAGTGCTCATGACAAATCTTGCTATATTCTCTAGTTTGGAGGAGGACCATGGAAATCTCTAGCTTTTTTTTTCCCCTCTCCCGCAAAGAAAACCCAGCTGTCAATATGAGACTTTGACCTTTTTTCCCTTCACTTTCTTGATATCAGAGAAGAACATGAAAATATGATCTCTGTAGGTAAAAACAATCAAAGGGAAAGCAAATTTAAAAATAAGCCTTTATTTAAGGGGACAAAAGGAACTAGCAATGGTTGAAACTTCATCAGGGATGTTTGGAGCCTGCTTCAACATTTTGCAATGCTTGGGAATGGCAATAAAACTTTATATCAGATTAACCAGGATTTAAAGGTCTTTCTATTTAAACACACAAATCACAATTAAGCTGAATTTTATTCCCAGAATAATGTCATCTAAGTCATCTTGGTTAAATCTTTCCTATTCACTGTCTTTGGATGTCAACTTTTTATAATAATTAAATTAATTTACTTACAAATAGTTCCTGTAAAGGACTGAGTCACAAACATTCAAACTCAGAATACAAATCTGAACTTCCAGTCCTGGGAAACTTTTCTCATTGCTTTCTAGCCTTAAAGAAGGGTGATGACATTTATCGGTTCATATCACTGAGGGAAACTCTTCCTGGCCTGGGTGTGGGAGCTGATGTAGTGGCTAGAAGCAAGAGACATCACAGTCCCTGCTCTGGGTGATGCTCTGATGAATAGTGTTCCAGCAGCTTTGAGTCACAGAAACAGATTCAGGGCTCAGGCCCCATCTCATACCCCTCGACAACAGGTCCAATGTGAGGAGGGTGAGACGATTCACAAAAGGAAGGAACATCTCATGCCACCAATTAAAATCCAGGATAAATAATTTCCTGCAGACTTTCATCAGACTGACAGGCCAAACTGAGCAGATCCATTCCTTTGCTATGATGGCTCTTCATTCACCAAGGTTCCTGCAGTAGAGGCACACTTTCAAACTGCAGGCATTTAATACAGGCACCCAGGTCCTTTGCATATTTCTTGGGGAACAGTTCGTAGTGCATAAGTAAGGAACATCTGTCTTTCCCTTGAGTAAATGAAGCTCTGTAGCATGAACACAGACATGGTGGGTCAGACCAAAGAGCCAGCTAAGTCACCACTCTGCCTTTGATGTAGGCAACAGCAGATGCCTAGGGAATAGCAGAAGAGCATTAATATCTAAACATTAATATCTAAATTTTCTTCCTCAGTTACTTTTTAACCCTCGACCAGTAGTGATACATCACACAGACTTCCTAATGTGTCCATGGTTTGTATGAATTTAGAGATGCCATTAATTTTCCTGTCTCTCTTTGAACCCAGGTAAATATTCATTGTCTACAATATCTAAGGGCAGGATTTACAAAGTTTAACTATGTGACTACTATCATGAGAGATCGCTGTGAAACTGCAGGTATATATGTATGAGCAAACTTGAGAGGCACGAGTGACCTTGGAAATCAGAGCACAGTGCAAGCACAGCAACCTTTTCCTACCTCTGAGATGCACTCACATCCTTTTGCCTCAGCATGGGAGGCATGCTGAGAGCAATGTAAAACGTATCTGAAGTAGAAGTGTTGAAGGTCCCAAGCTGATGAAGTACATAGGTCAGATGCCATATACAGTGCATGAAGTTTTTGGAGGATATTTCTTGTCATGTTTATCATCATTAGGCAGAACTAATTTCCATGAATCAAGCCTAAGCAGAGTTACATGGGGTCTAAGTGATGAAGAGATTGGGTTGGTGGTACTATTCAATCACTAACAACTTACTGGACAACTTGGCAGCTTTCCAAAGATTATATTCTTCTTCTCTCTTCAGATTGTAAATACATACATGAAAATATTCTCAAATGTGGACATTAGTAAGCTCAATTTGAGGTCACATCTGCCCCATGATCAACTTTTTTATCAATTGGTTTTATTGCACAACAAACCTGAACTCAGCTTGCCATGAAATGTCAGCAACAATTTCTGTTGGTTGCTGCACCTTGTGCTGTGACTGGAGTCATTGCAGTATGCATGGCTTCAACATGAAGGGGACTCATGTTAGCTGCTGCAAAATCATATAATCACAGAATTGTTTAAGCTGAAAAAGATCTTTAAGATCATCGAGTGCAAGGATTACACAGTCACTACTGAGTCTACCACTAAATCACTTTTTGCAGATAATGTGAAGAATAATGAGCTTGTAGAAAACATGATACCCAATTACAGGTTATAGAAAAGCTTTAGTAACCCTTTGAACCTTGTCAGGACAAGTATTCACTGCAGTTACTCTAGTTTTAAAAAAGTGTCACTCATAATAATATGTTTCTAGTTATGCTTCTGTTAAAACATATTATCCAGTAATGGATTTCAGAGATCCTTAAGGCAGGACACATTGAAGCTACTAAAAAAATTTGCAGTTGGAAGAGGACTTCAGTGGGCTATGAAAAGACATACAGTCCAGAAGAAACAGAGTTTGGATTCATGAGAACATAACCCAAATGAGCTGTAGACTGGACTGTCTTGAGCCATGAGCAGGGTATGCAGCTGCTTAGGGTGGCAGACTGCTGGGACTTTGCCTATGTCAGTAAGTTTTGTTTCTGTCAAAGGCTCCTGTTGCAGAACTACTGATAGCCAGGTTGGTTTCTCATGCTGAGGAAGAGGTTGGACTATGGGCTATGACAATGGCACAGCAACTCTTGGCAGAGTCACTCTGCCAAGCTATGGCATATTATGTCTCTAGCTTCTAGGTAATATAAAATGAGGCAGGCTCTTTCCCTGAGTCCTTACCCCTCTTCGCAGAATCACAGACTTGTTGAGGTTGAAAAGGACCTGTGGAGATCATGCAGTCCAAGCTTCTTGCTCAAGCAGGGCCACCTAGAGCCAGTTAGTGAGGACTGTGTCCAGATGGCTTTTGAGTATCTCCACGGAGGGATACTCCACAATCTCCCTAGGCAACCTATTCCAGTGTTTGCAGTAAAACAAAGTGTTTCCTGATGTTCAGACAGAGACTCCGGTGTTTCAGTTTCTGCCCATTGCCACTTCTCTTCCACACCAGAAATTGTCCAGGCCTGGTCTGGTCTTGGCCCTTCAATTGTGAAGTGCCTATTTCACAGCTGTCTGTATGGACCTGAGCTGACTTGGTAGCCCATTTTCAGAAGCTAGTTCCAGCCTTTCAGTTTCTTCAGGACTGTGAACTTGAACTGCATAATAAAAATAAAAATTGAATACGGTGCATACAAATTCAGCTGACTGTGATCAGATCCAGACAAATATCACTGTCTTCTTTCTTCATCTAGCTAGCTTGTTTCTGACAGAACTCCTCTAGAATATAAAGGGCGAGTAAAAGCCATCTGACTAATATTCAGTCTACAAATTAAGTTGGTTTTACCCTATTTTTCAAGCCCTCATTTATATCTGATTAGCTAATGTCACCCAAGGGCCAGACCATTTGTTTAACACTAACTGCTTCCGAAACATTTCTGTTAGTATCATCTAGAAAAACTGATGCAGCTCTATAAAGAAACAAAGGGTTATTAGAATTTACAGAGCTGTGTAACAAAATTTAATGCTAGGATTGATACTTGCCCTGTAGCTTATGGAAAAGAAAATTCTTTTTTTTTTCTGCATCAACAGCTTAAGAAAAGCTCATTTCTAATAATGTTCAAATATGTAGAAATACAGATGGGATTTTCTTACCCTTTCCTTTACAAAATTCATTAAAAGATCAAAAAGATTTGTTTAGACTTGATCTTTGTCCCATAAATTCCAAGGATCCATAATAAGCAAATAATTCACAGTAATTAACTGTGATTTTACAATACCAGTGCACATAATAAACATAATAATACCAAAGTGTGATTTGCTCCTTAAATCTGTCTGTAGAAACCGCAACACCTTCCTCCAGATATTTAAGAATTAATTCAGAAAGCTATATGTTAAAAAGAGCTCATAGTTTTTTGTATCAGACTCACTGAACAGCAGGCCCAACACTCTTTTATTTTCTATCCTGCCTTTAGGTACTTTCAACTGATTTGCTCAAGACTTGAGGCAGAGTAAAACCCCATGTATCTGGACAGAATCCCAAGGAAGAGGCTACGTGGGTGCACTGCGCCAGGACAAGGCCAAAAATATCTTGGTTTGGTATCCTGGTCTTAAGCCAACATCATCTCTGCCCCATCTCGGGTGCGAGGCTGCTCCTTCTTTTTTCAGGGTACAGACCCATTTCTCCTTGCAGGTCTCTGTGGGGAGGTTGAGTCAACATTCACAGTTGAGTTGCCTTCCCTGGCCTGTACCACGAGCTCAAACAGTTCAAGTGGGTAGGGCACCTGGCCTATGGGGAAATAGCTTACCAGAAGAAGTATAAGTTTGTAACAGTCCCAGCCAATGAAGAAGCCAGCACTTGGCCCAATCAAGGCAGTTAAAGCACGCAATTGTATTTAAAAGTAACTTTTGGAGTTATTGACATTCAGAGGAATACATCAGTATTTTCTGCCTATCAGTTTAGATAACAAGTTCAAACTCACCAATGCCTTTTTTCAGATACTATAGGAAAGTTTGATAGCATCTCAGCTAATTATTTGAGATCATTAGAATAGCTGTAATGAAGGAAGGCATAATAACCTCAGAAATAATTGGATTTTGCAGCAGGCTGTGACAAGCTGTCCAACACATATTCATATGGTCCACTCTGCTTTTACAAGCTAAAACCACAGATTGCAATTTATTATTGCTTCTTGAGGTTGAAATTAGAAAACGTATTAATGTTGGAAGGAAAATATATTAGCAGAAACACTTGCTGGAGCTGAGAGTTCTGCCTTTTGGCTGAGATCAATAACCTGAAAGCCTAAGGCTGATCTTCATCAGAATATGGAATGAATGCCTAGGAGAATGGATAATAAGTGCTGTCCAGAGATTTCATTCCCTTCCTATGTGAAAAACGTAGACACGAGGTCCCACAAAATTATAGGCTTCATTTAGATAAACTTGAATTTGTTTTTATTTAACTAGTAATAAAAACTTTGGAGCACTAAAAGCTGAAAAATGTGGCTGCAGCTTTCAGCAGTAGGCATAACGTGACTTGTCCCCACTGAATGAGAGAGTTGTTGAAGGGACTTTTTTCCCTGTTTGTACAGCACCTAACACAAATTCCACAGAGGACAGTAGCTGGTTCTCTGGTGTGCCAATTAAGTAACCACAACTCACAGTGATATCTGACACATTAAGACTCCATGACAACCAGCAAAGGTCATATGGCCATGTGGATTCTTC